GGGTAAAAGAGAGGGAGAGAAAGTGGTAGAGTAACGAAAATTGTCTCGTGCTAGTCTCTTTATCGTGTCTGCGCGGATATAGTCGGGGTCTCTCGCTCGTTCCGTCGCGGGAACGATGAACTAGGCGTCAGCGAAAGACCGATTACCGCGTCTCGTGCCGTTCCACCGAGCCACTTTGCCCGAGAAACGTTGAGTGGTTACGTCTGCGACGTACCCGTGATAAATTCGGTCGTTGATTCGTTAAGCTTCGTTCGTGCGGTGTGTCTGGAGAGAGGAGAGAAGTTTGAACGGACAAACGAAACGGGGGGAACGAAATTAGCCGTTTCTCTCTTCTTCTTCCTCCTTTTGGTCCACGTATTGTGTCCCCAACTCGGTCTACGAAATTATTTTCTTCCTTACTTTCTTCTCTATTCTTCTCTTGATAACCACGCGCACACACACGCACACGTCGTCGTCGTCGTCGAGAGAAACGAAAAAGAAAAACGTTCATACGTCCGTCCATATACCCTGTCCACAGACGCGCGCGATACGCATAGTTTCGAAAACGTTTTATTTCTATTCTTTCATACAGTGCAACGCGACAACCAGTGTCAACGTATCCGATCCAAAAAGAAACGAACGTGTCCGAGGGGAGAACACGGTGGCAGCAACCACGAAACGGAGGAAAGTGTGTTTAATTAAGGACGAGAGAGAGAACTGAGTCTTCCATCGACTCCAAGTGCCATATACATATATATATACATATATATATTATTAAAACCTTCCATTAAGATAAGTCTTTACTTTTGCTAAGTGTTTCGATTCGAAAAGTGTGTCCCGAAGCCACCGGAGAAGACACGGAAACGTGAGAGAAGAAAGAATTGTTACCTGGACAACTGCAGATACAGTGGTGTGCGCGTATCTTCGTTAAAGCAAGACGGAAAATAAAAAGTGTGGAAAAAGGATGATACGTTAAGAAGAGATAGCTCGATGAACAGCTTAAAAGTTCACTCATTCTTGTCCAACCTCGAAAGGACTAACTAAAGAAGAAGAAGAAGAAGAAACGAGAAAAAAGAGGCAGAAGAAGAGGAAGGTTCTGTTATAATCCTGGCGAACAAACGAGAAAATGTCCACTCAGGCTTATTACAAGGAGAGACTCGGTTTCGATCCGGCTGATACAGTGGCGGAGCATCATCGTGCCCAGCGATCGCAGCACGGATACGAGGAGTCGCTATCCAAGTTCAAAGGTCAGAACGAAAATGGATTTTCGTGGATGATGGAACGACGGGAGAATTGGCGGGTGGATGGGCCGACGGAACAACGTTCCAGCAGCGCTCAGGCTTTCTGGGGTTGCTGGGCGATGTTCATCGAGGCGCACGGTAGGTGAAGAGTTGGCATGCCGATGCTGCTGGACCTCGTCCAATACCTTGTGTCCCTGACCCTCTCTCCTCTTCTCCTACCACTCGAGAACTTCTTTTCTAATTGCCCTGCTACTATATCCTACCCCCTTTTTTTTTATCCACCCGTTTTCTTCTTTTTTACTTTCGTTTGGTTTCTTCTTTTCTTTTTTTTTTTGTCTTCTTCACGTCGAATTTGCTTTGGCTTCCTCCCTTGGCGTTTTGTCGTCGCAACAATCGAGACAAATCGGTAACGAGGAGAAATAGTGTTGTAGAAAATTGCTTGGGTGGTTTTTTTTTTTTTTTTACACCACCGAAAGTGATTCTTCGGTGTATTCTTTGTTCCTCGTTTCTTCTTCTTCTCTTGTCGCAGTAGAAATGCGAGGATTATTTCGATAGAGAGAAAGAAACCGAGGGAAAAAGAGCACGCAGGGAATCACGCGTCGCGAGAAGCTATCGCGAACGGAAGTAACGTTTTTCAGGTCGTTTACCTTTTGCCGTTTGACCCGAATGTTTCGCGGAAGTTGCCTCGGAAATAGCCGGGGCAAAATGGTTCGCGCGTGTTCGCGAATGCAGTCTGATCCAGAGACTCCGACACGTCTGATAACGAGGGAGAATCGAGGAGACGCGGTTCTCGCGTGTTCAACAGTGTAAACATGTATTCTTTCTTTCTTTTTTTCTTTTTTTTCTTTCGGTGAACTTTGAGATTGCAACGTGTTTTATTCTTTTCTTTTTTTTTTTTCATTGTTTGATTCGCTTAACAATTGACCACTAACTCTGTTACACTTTTTTTTTTCTTCTTTTGAAGTGTCTTTTGTGTGCCTAATATCACGTACGATCGTACATTATGCGTACCACCTTCGGGGCGTCTCGAAAACGTAGAACAGATTTCCATTAGAATCGCTTTTAACGGGTTATATATATGTGTGTGTATCGACGTGTCCTTTGTGTCCACGCAATACACGCACGTAGAGATAGTGTCTAGCTTGCGAAATGCGGGTTTGTCGAAACGATTTCGCGCCAGTTCTATGTTTGCCGCGCGTGATTCGCAAATGTTTGGGCCAAACGGGAACGTTCATCGAAAGAGTTAACCGCCAGTGCGTATATACGTACATTTATCCTCGGTTTACAAACACGGTGTCCGCGAATTTTCCATTTGAACTTCTTTTAGTACGTGTTTTAGAATAAACGGAGATAAGGGGAGAGAAAAATGTTGCGTAAGTGTGAGATCGTTCTGAAGGTTCGTTAAGAAAATTGGCCAGAACAGTTTGATGTTTAAAGGGAAGAGTAATGTAGTTGCTTTTTTAGTATGATCAATGATAGCGAATTTGTACAGTGATAAATTCAATTGATGTCAATCTCTCTCTCGTATTGATAAAACGAAACCACACGAACGAAATATATCCATTATCCTTTTTAGTTCATTTCTCGCTTTTATCGCGACGTTTTAATAAACCTTCCAACGACTTATATACAGGGTGATTCGCGTAAAATAGGCTACCTAATTATCTTTTGTAGTTAGGGGCGGTACGAGAATACTTTTAGACGCTTTTTAAATGGTTTCAAAGGACGCATAAAATGGGAGAAAAATTTTTCTATTTTCGTTAAGGTCACTTATATTTTTCACATGAATTTATGTGATTGTTTCTACCGTATACTGTAGCAAACATTGATAATACGGTCTAAAATGACTTTGAATACTAGAATTTTAAATCAAACGTGAAGCTTCAATTTTTTTCCATTTTATTCACCATTTAAATTATGCATAAAAATTTTTTGGCACCATCGCAGCTACAGAAGATGATTGAATTGCCCGTTTCACGTGGCTCGCCTTGTGTATCATCGTCAAACATAATCAGAAAAATCCAGGACATCACGTGTATACATACGTGTACGATACTCCAAGCACGTAACTTTGAGTTTGAAAAAAGAAAGAGAAAAAGGTATCTCTGCGCGATTTCCTCTGCAACGATCCTGCTCACGTCCAGGGACGATCGTCCCGACAATTGACCCCCGTTATCACACGCTCCGAAATCCCAATGTGCGCCTCTCGTAAGAACGAGTGTCCTCGTTGTCCCAATTTATCTCCAATTGTGCCTCGGTATGCCACTCTTCCGTTTCAGGCGTCGTTTTCGATTACATCGGATCATTTTCTTTTCTCGCAAAGGCGCGCCCCCTCCGACACTTGGGACGAGCTTCGATCCAAACCGATTACCAGCTAATGCCTTGTCATGTCAATTAGAATGAACGCGTCTACCGTATTTTTAACGTCTTACATACACCACTACCTTTCGCTCGTCGAACAGACCGACAATTCCTCTTTATTTCCATCTGAATATTAGGCTGGAACGTTGGAAAAAAAATTGACGAACGAGGAGAGCTGAGCTAAACTAAGCTGAGTTGAGCTGTAACCCCAAGGCGATAATATCCGTAACGTTTAATCACCGTTATGGTA